ACCACAGCATGTTTAGAATAGTAGTATCTTCATTATCTAAGCTAAATAAAAAATTACTTTTCAGAAAATGCATTGAAAATTAGGTTACTATAATGTTTAAAGGAAGAACATCAAGGGGAAATTCACTATTCATTCACTTTGTTTCTAATCCAAAGTTTTTCACACTTGAGTTTGTAATCAAACTCAAAGAGAAAAACAGCTTTGGTGATGAGTTCCATCATCAAACCAAACTAAGAACAAAGGAATTCTACTAATTTAAAGAGATTCAAAAAATTATTCAATATCTTGAGTTTAGGGTCTATTGGAAACCGTCTCTCTACCTCACAAGGTAGGGTAAGGTCTGCCTCCCCAGACCCCACTTGTGCCTATGTTGTCCTTGTCAAGAAATATGCTATTTGATCAAAAATTCATGATTGGATGATTTAAAGAACAGTGATCAAACAAAAAACAAAACAATTCTACTAATTTTTAGGAGATTCAAGAAATTATACTATATGATCAAGTTTCATGACATGACAATGATCAAGAAAAGCTTAGTCCCTTCTAATTCCTTACACCTACAAGACAAGATAGACACAAATTCATAGCCCCAATAAAAAGTCAAGCTTCCACACCAAAAGTCAAGTCCCTCTGATCAATTCTCAACAATTTTGTTGATGGGACAGAATTCTCAGTAACAAAAGTAGCTCTAAAATCCCCATGAATTGGATTAACAAATTGAGTTCTCATTTCTCATAAAATATTCCAAGATCAAATTTTTAATCTCTTTTTATTCAATTCTGAAAAACAACCAAACAAGAACATCAAAACCAATAAACTTAAAAGAGGTAATAGCAATAGATATCTCACATTGAATACTGTAAAAGAAACCTCCCAAGGATGAAATGCAATCTCTTTGGATACAGAAAAGTTGCAAAGACTTTGGAACTCCTCATTCCAATAAACAACTCCATCATCCTTCAAAGACTCTTCCTTTGTGAAACTCTTCTTAAAACTTTTCCTCTTGAGAGAACTCAAAGTCAAAGAATTACCCTTTGAGCCTTTCCACTTGATTTCAACAACCAATCTTTGAAAATCTTGAGAAAAGTTTAGACCTTTAACACAATTCACAGTGATTTTGGCCTCAAATTTCTTTGAAGTTAATTCAGGCCATGGCCTCCACTTCATCATTTTCACAACCATCCCTTTGAACACCACACACAAAACTAACAAATACTCAAAAGAGTCCTCAAAAAACACAAAAAAATCACACAAAACTAACAAATACTCAAAAGGGTCCTCAAGAAACACAAAAAAGATTGACACAAATCAAACAAATACTCAAAAGGGTCCTCAAAAAACACAAAAAAGATTGACACAAAACAAACAAATACTCAAAAGGGTACTCAAGAAACACAAAAAAGATTCACAAGAATGAAGAAAAAAGGAGGTTTCTTTGAATAGTGAGATCAAAAAGAAAGGAGAATTAGGTGTTTATCAAAAGGGAATTTGTAAGTTCATGAAAAAGAAGAATTGTTTTATGAGTTATGCAGAACCACTCTGGTTTTTTCTAGAGAGAGAAATAGAGGACAGAGAGAGAGAGGCCGGCATTGTAAAAACACCTAAGAAGTAACGTCTCCTATTTCTAGTGGAATTTCAAGTGTTTGTCTCACACTATTCTTCCTCTTTTGGTATTATAATTAATGAGTTTCCTTTACATTGTTGTTGACTAATTCAGATTTTTATCACATAATTATAAATATTTTTTTTATTAATTAATTTAAATTTACATTGTAAAAGGTTCATTCGTCAAAAACATTTTTTTATATTTAAGACTTGAAATATAAATTTCTTATTAAGAGGAAAAAATATTCAATCAATGCACCACAAATGAGTCAATTGGATCAAGTATATCCATTGCCAATTACTTGAAATGTAAATATAATAAAAATATTATTTTTTTAAGATAACAATTTCCAACAATACTCTAAGGGGTCATTTAATCGGGATCAAGCTATTTCGGGATAAGTTATTCAAGAATTTGTTATTTCATCATATATATATATGATATAACGTATCTCATCACTATGATAAAAATGATTTGATAAATAATTTAAGGACCACCTAATACCTCCAACCAAATATGGATAAAATAATCTTACATTTTGTCCTTAAATTATTATATTTTATATCTCACACGAAACAACTCCTAACTCTCTTATGACTTGTGTCGATTAGATAAGTATATCCATTGCTAACTATAAACTGTAATAGTGAAAATCTATTCAATGGAGTCTGTGGAAAATAGAGTATATACGGAACTTATCATTATCTCGTAAAAATAGAGAGACTATTTTTGAAAATATAAATATATTTAAGATAAGAATTTCCAAGAAAATCTAACTAGATTCATGTCTCATATTTTTACCATAAAATATAGTAACAATAATTTTAGGTACATTGAACTTTCTTTTGGCTTCCCGGTATTATTTGCATTAGGTATCTTTGAAAGCTTTTGAGTGATTTAGAAATTATTTTTAAAAAATAACATTATAGTGATAATTTTTTTAATAAACAATATTTGTCTGAGGTATCTTGAAAGCTTTAGAGGGATTTAGAAATTAACTTTTAAATATAACATTGCAGTGATAATTTCATATTTGGATAGGATAGAGAATTCTCTATTGACGTAAATATTATGAGAAGTCTAAAGTTAGAATTTCAACTTCCTATATATTGATTTATCAAACATCGTATAGCTTATACAGAAAAATTAATACATGAATAATTTGTTTCTTATCCAGCTATCAAACAATCCCTAAAATATGTATATATAAATAAATTTATATATGAAAGACATATGTCTTATATTTATTGATTAAATGTTAATACCCAAATAAATACATAATATTGTGTGAAAATATTTTCGCTTGTCCAACAAAAAAAGAATAATGGTAGAATTTTAAGGAATCATTTCTTGCTTAATAATATGTATATTTATATATCAAGTTACACTAGTACTTTAAAATGAAATTCCTCTATTTAAAAGTAGTCCTAAAGAAAATAAAAACAAAAATGTTTAACAATAAAAGCATGGAGAACTTTAATAATATACCTATTTTTATAATTTTTAAAAAGTCATCTTATAATTAAATTTAATTACAACTGAATATAATTATTCAATTTTAACATGTTTATTTGACCAAGTGACTCAATATTTTTTATTACAAGGCTACTTAAATGATAATTCTTCTCACATATTGCCACACAATATTCAACCAAATGAGAAAATCTTATTTCGTATTATAATTTTCAAATATTTAAATTTTTAAAAGTAATTAATTTGATTTAGTTTTTAAAAATAGTCTAAACAAGAACTTAAATCAGTATTTTCTTCGTTCCTATTTAGTTGTTACCATTTTAGGTATCAGGCCTATTAAGGAAAAAAATTACATAATTTTACTATTATACCCTTATCAAGTAGTTTTTAAATAAATTTTTAATAAATGAACATAAATTAATTTATATCGGACAGAGAGAATACTTACTCAGACATTTCCCTTAAGATTTCAATAAATGAATCATGTGCATAAAATCTAGTCAATTTAAGAATCTTATACTAGTACTATATGGTTGTTAATTACCATATATTGCAAAGCCACATCATATTCAAGAATCAAATATTATTAAAGATTTTTACTTTTTCAGGTGGTATTAAACAAGGACAATAATAGAAAATTTATAACATATATACCAATAAGTTAATGTATATATTTAATTTTAAAAAATTAATACATAAAATTCGAAAGTTTTCAATATACCTAATCCTTTTAAGATAATTTTTAATGAATTTGGGATTTTAAATAATTTTCAATATACCTAATCCTTTTAAGATAAGTTTTCAATGAAATTAATATATGGCATTCATGACAAATTCAAAAATTAATTTTTATTTACTAGCCTAATCTTTTTAAGATGAGCTTTCAATGAAATCTAACCAGATTCTTGTGTCATGGACTTGTTTGGATTTTCCTTCTTTTTTGCAATTAGAGATATAGATGAGACTTTAAAATTTATTTACACATTCATATATGATGTGTCGTTTGTCTTTATATTTTATTTTATAGCGAAGTGAACAACATATTTAAAGTATTTCAATTCTTTAGTTTTATATTTGAACTATTAGGTGTACGATTTTTTTAAATCTATTTATAAAAACACACACACCTTAATTATCAATTGTTTTCCTTTTCTTCCTTAACGACAATGATATTTCAAATAGGAAAATAGAACAATTAATAGTTAAAGTGTGTTTTAATAAATAATTGGTAATAGTTCAAAAAATCCCCGCACACCTAATAATTCACATATGAAACACGAAAAAGATATATACTTTAGATGTTTTCTTTTTGTCATTAACTCTTTATTTTACTATTTATCGTTACATATTTAAAATCAAAAGTTGGTTGTATCAATTTGTTGTAGGGTTGATTTTAAAATTAAATAAATGTGTTAATAATATTGTTGACGCCGCATATGCGCTTTTGATTTAATTTTTTTTCACTTTTAATATTCACAAGTTTATCTAAATTATTAATTATTTCACCGTTTTATTATTCATATGTTATATTAATCTTGCACCGAGTATTTCAAATTTTGAGGATAATATAGAGTTCTAAATAGTCTAAATATAACATATTTCTTATATATAAAGGGATAAAAGATACACATTTATTTAATTAAATATCAAATATATTGAATCATATGTCATAAAAACTAAAATAAGAATTTATTAGTAGGACCAAACATGATAATTTATTCCTAATTTTTTAGGCAATAAACATTTTTATGGTAGCAACAATTAGTAGGTAAGGAGAATTTTTTTGGTTGGATATTGATAAATTATATGTTACATCCTCGAGTTTTGTATAAATGTAGAATGTTTTGTTTTATTTTTTCTTCTATTTTAGTGGATAAAATTGAAGGAGTGATATGAACAAACAAAAATTGGATGGTGGTTTAGGTAAAGTCCAGCACTTAATTTTAAAATAAATAAACGACTCAAATTTGTTTAGTTTTATGGTATGTTAACATTAATTTGGCCATTTCAAAAACAAAAATAAAATAAAATTGGTACATTGTCTACGTAAGAAGAAAATAAAACGTATTGTAACTTCAATGTGAGTCTTGCTTTATTTATTAGGTTGTATTGCCCCCTTTGACACTTACTTTTTCTTTTGATTTTATCGCTCGGTGTTTGATATTTATATTGAAGTTTGACTAAATTTAAATTTGCATAGAAAAATTTCTTATTGAAAGATAAAGCATTTAAAAAAAAAAAAACGATTTCATATTCAGACTCGAGCCCAATCTATAATTTAAGATTCAAAAAATATACTTACGACTCCGTCACAGCGTTACTGCGCCTTGACACTTACGTTTAACAATTGAATATGTCAAAAAGCAAACTTACTTTTCCATGCTATTGCAATCCGTCAAGCAATATAAGCCAAATATAGATGCACAAAAACAAGAAGAAAAAAACTAAGAATTATTCCTAATTTTATCTGGTTAATTTTATGGAGGTAACTCGATAATTGTTTTAATGCACCATAAGTTACTAGATTAATTTTCGTAACAAAATAATCTTTAATTAATTTTATTTAATATCATGAAAATTGATAAATTATATTTTATAACGGAAAAGTAATAGTACTATACTCAATTTTGAGTTATTAGAAGGAAACAAATGAGACAGTTTCTACGATATAGTTGAATTTAATTTTTTCCATCATTTCCCCCCTACCCTCATATAATAAAAATAAATAAATACTAATAGTTTGACAATATTTTTTCATTCGATGTTTGACACTTGTATTTGGTCGAGATTAAATTTGAATTTTCATATTAGTAAATAATTATCTTCCTAACAAAGGGACTCTGTATCTACATGATAAATGTCTGAATATATGTTCTCATGCAATATTCTTGAACTATACAAATAATTTTCGGTGAATATATATTGCATTTAATCAACCTTTATAGAATTAAAATATATTTTAAAAACACATCTACGTGAGAAAACGATATTAAACATGGGGGTCATTTCCTATTGGAAAAGGACTTTAAATAGATTATTAATTAGTGAGAGACTTTTGATGATTTTCTTCATTTATATTATGGGATATTTCCAAAGTCAACTTAAAAATAAAAAGAACAGCTAAAATAATAGGTTTGGGACTACACTATTAGGCATCAAATTAAATGTCAATTATCATTTATGTTTATGTTTAATAATAAAGAAAAAAAACAATTATCCTAGATGGGTAATTAATAAGTGTGATACGAATTAATCAGCAAATTATCGCTATATCTTTCGTTAATGATCATCAATAACTCCCTCTATATCATATTACTTGTCTACGTTAGTAAAAATATATGTCCCAAGTTATTTCTTTCATTTATTTTTACTTGTCACTTTTAACATAACATACCAGAGAAGACAAAAAAAAATCATGTTTTACCCTTAACATTTATAAGCTTATTCGCCTAAACTATCTCAAGACTTAAGACTTAAGGGTGGAGCCAATATGTTTATTGTGGATTCGGTCAAATTCAATAACTTTGTTCAA